ATTTCTTCTCCGGTTCACCTTTCTCTTGCTTTCTTCCCCTTCCCCCTCCATTTTTCACTACCAGCAATATCTTCTTCCCTTCTTCTTCCCCAACATTAGCGTCGCTCTCCATTCTACCTCTCTCATTCTCTTTTTTGGATTTCTCTCTCTTCGATTCCATTTCCTTCAATCAAACATCAAAATCCCTCTTTTCTCTGTCTGGCCCAGATAAAGCTGATGAACTACAAGCACCTGATTCCTTTCACCATCGCAGTCACACTTCTCTCCGTAAACTTCTCCCACCTGGTGGCCCATGCCTTGGGAGGCTCTAGCTCTAAATTTGTTCCTAAATCCATAGCACTTCAAATTTGAAAGTAATCTCACTTTCTATGCTTATATAGTTTTAAATTCGAACCATGTCAATATTGAATTCCCTTTTTCAAAAAAAAAAAAATACTAGGCATTTACAAGAATCATTTGAAATTTTAAGAAAAACTAATGTTATATGTATTATTGGTGCCCAGTACATCAGCATTTCGCTTCAATTTGATTTTATTAATCCATAGCGACCTAACTTTAATTCAACGATAAATTCATCCTTTAAGTTAATGTTTCAATTTTTATGGGTTGTTGCTTCCTTAGAAAATGCAGGAAAATGAAGAGAAAAGGAGCTTTTATTTTTGTTTAAATTTACATTATTTTAGTTCTTGCAATCTGTTTTTTTTTTTTTTTTGGGGTAATTTTTATAGATTTTTATTTTCACTTGATTTACTACTTGATTAGTTCATTGGAGGAGAGAATTGTAATTGAAGAAGAAGAGTAATACTTGCCGGAGATAGAGACGAAGGGATGAGAAGTTGGGGAAGAAGATGGAGGAGAGAAAAAGATAAAGATATTTTTAGGTTAAAATTATTTATTAAGTGGAATTTAACATGAAGATGCACGATAATATAAAATAAGTGTTTTATTTTATATGTTATTAAAATTAAAAAAAAAGGGTCAAATTTGGTGGCAACTTTACGTGGCACATGACACTTCAATCCACAAAATAATTAAATTGATATCAAAAATTGAAATTTGAGGATAATTTTAATATTTTTTAAAACTTAAGAATAAATTTAATTTAAAAATAAAAATTGAGGTATCAAATTAAATTTAATCTATAAAGTCAGTTATTTTACTTATTATTAACTAATTTTAAATTAAATGCCACTTATTTTACTGATTAGTTGCTCAATTTTCCCAAAGAACATGAATTAAAGGGAAAAAATAAATGAAAATCGAACACTAGAAATTGTTTCATGATGAAATAAGAAAGATGAAATCATATAGCAACTATAATCCTCCTTTTGTCGGAATCGGAGGTTTGTTCGGACAAATGGAATTTCAGAGAATCTAGTCAATCCCTTGCCCGTATCCAAATCCAACACCGCTGCCACAACCTGCGCCGATTCCGAACGCCAGCTTCAGATGGTTCCATGGCCAGCCACCATAGCCGATTACTCCAACTAGAGCAAAACCACTTCAGCTCCACATCCAACTCCGGCGCCACCCCCAGGGCCCAATAAGATGTCCTCTATTTTCCAGCGGTTTTCGCGGAGAATTCTGACACAGGGAATTGCTTTCCCTCCTTCTTCATGATGTTTCCCTTCCAGCTCCACAGGGAATCGGAGTCTCTGGACTTGGTTCTCATGGAATTATTTTCCAGCCCATTTCATTTTCTGTTTCTTGACAGAAAAATGAAATTACAAGTCACCATTACCAGAATTGTTTCCCTTTGGTAGTGCTCATTGCGGATTTGATGTTCTGTTCTATTGCTTAGGTAAGTTGCTATGCAACTGTGCCAAGGCGTCAGATAGCAGTGCTGTAGTGGATGTGGTCATGGTTTGATGGTGAGATGGCAATGTTGAAGGCGGAGGCTGGGATTTGTATATTTGGATGCGAGCAGAATCATAATCAGGCTCATTATTGTACTTTGTTGTCTCACCAACAGCTACTGCAAACGATTGAGGCTGGTGATGAATTTGAGTAGGGATAGGATCCTGCTCAGTCTTATTATAGTTTACATGAACTACTTGGTTTGCTGTAGGCCCATTTCTGTATACTTGCGGGGTTAACTCAGGTACAGGCACGGGTACAACTCCAACCTCCTTCAAAATCAATTGGGGGAGGGACCCCTGAAGGATTTGGATGCTTTTGGGGCTGACCAGCGGCAAATGTTGGTGTATGAACCAGTCCACATTGCACCGCGTAATTGTACTGTTGAGTCTGTGTGACAGGCAAATAGTACAGGGGGAAAGGTTGATTGGAATGATAATGGGGCTGTTGCTGCTGGAGCACTGGCTGATACACTGGAATGTATGATGTAACTGGCAGTAAGGCAGGTGGGTTGTGGGACACAGGATGAATACCTGCATGTATAATTTGTACATTTCGATGCTGAGGCAGATTCAAATTAGGATTTGTGGCATACTCAGAAACTTGTCCTGATGTATGCATCAGGATCCCAGAGGAAAGATCATAAATTTTACTGTCTGATTAATATGGGCTGACAGATATCTTCCTCTCCATTGCAGAAATTGGGACAAAAGGGTCTTGACAAGTTCCACTCTGCACACAAGAAATGCCGCTTGCACATTTGCTATCACTGCAGTTCAAGGAAAAAATGAAAAAAGGAAAGGAAAGATCATAACCAATCATATAAGAACCCCCATGATTACATCACCAAAGAACTACATTACATCCTGCTCTTAATCCTACCAGCTCCATGGGAAAATTGTAGGCTAAAGAAAGAGCAAAATTGTCAAATGTTGAAGTTGACTATTAAACTTTCAGAACTCTCCCTAACACAACTGGCAGGCTATAAGTTGAAACAAATAGCTAACTTGCCTTTCTACCATCAAAAGTTCGTTGTTTTCTCTAAAACAAAAACTTAAAAGGTTAAATACCTTTTTTGGTCCCTCTACTATAGGAAAAGGCTCCCTTTTAGTCCCTGTACCAAAAAAATCCCCTTTTTGATCCTTACTGTTCACAAATCCGACCCCTTTTTGGTCCCTCCGTTAAATTTTGGTTTACGTGGCATGTTAATTAACGGAAAATTTTTTTTTTCTTTACTTAAATTACGTGTGAAATCCATTTGGCAACACTTGATGACATGGCCAAATTTTTATCTTTAATTACCAATTCACCCTCATTTTCTTCCCCCATCCTCTCCTTCCTTCAGCCTTTTTTTTCTTTTTTTTCTTACCTTTAGGCGAACCCAGGAGTCTGGGTTCGTCGCGATGAACCCCTCCTGGGTTTGCAGCGATGAACCCACGAGCTCGAGGGGTCGTCGTGACAAACCCACGAGCTCGTGGGTGGGTTCGTCGCGATGAACCCGCGAGCTCGTGGGTTTGTTTGTCGTGACGAATCCACGAGCTCGTGGGTTCGTTCATCGCGATGAACCCAGCTCGTGGGTTCGCAACGAACCCAGGAGCGTGGGTTCGCAACGGCACTTCAAGCGCGGAAAAATGTTAGTTGGTAAGATTGGATTGATTTGGTTAAATGATTCTGTGATCAATTGAGCACCAAGACTTGGGTTAATTAACTGTTTTTAACAGGTTCTTCCAAGAAGGAAGTTGAATAGGTTTTGTTGGTTTGCGATGAACCCAGTCGCCTGGAGGTGATCGGTTTGATTTTCTAGTTTAGGCCATTGACATTGAGTGTTGGAATTTCAAATTCTCAATTTTCAATTTCCTGAAATTTTTGCTGCTCTTGGGTTTTCTGTTGTTGGATGTTTCTAGAGCTGTTTGTTTGAGAAGAACATGCTTTCTTATTTTTGGCAGGGATTGAGAACCCAGCTCGCGCCTGGGTTCGCGGCTTGGCAGAGATTGAGAACCCAGCTTGTGTCTGGCTATGTCGTGAACCCAGGTGCGAGCTGGGTTCATTGCCAACCCAATCACACGAGCTGGGTTTATTGCGAACCCAGTCGCGCAAGCTGGGTTCATCCTGGGTTCGTGATGAACCCAGGTGCCTGGGTTCG